CTCTGCTCTCTTCGCTACTGGCTTCTGACGGAGTCTGGGTTAGGTGAGCCTGAGTGTGGGTGAGTCTGAGTATGGGTACGTCTGTGTGTGCCTGACTCTGAAGAAATGAATCTGAGTGTGAGTGAGCTTGTGTATGAGTGAGTCTGGGTGCGAGTCTGAATCCCAATGGTGCCCCTGGCAGTGTCTGGCGACTAGGAGGCCCGGGTCGACTCCTCTTTGGGAAGCCAAAATGCTGCCCCTGGCAGCGTTTGGTGACTATGAAGCCCCTGGTGGACCCCCCCTGGGGCTCCCAAATGATGCCCCTGGCAGCGTTTTGTGACCATGAGGCTCTCAAGAGATACATGTTGGGGACGCCAAACGGCAATTCTAGCTGAGGCGTCCCACCAAAATCGGCGCGAACGGGCTCGTGAGATCAGCCAGGGTGGCTCCCCCTTGGGGCTCCCAAATGATGCCCCTGGCAGCGTTTTGTGACCATGAGGCTCTCAAGAGATACATGTTGGGGAGGCCAAACGGCAATTCTAGCTGAGACGTCCCACCAAAATCGGCGCGAACGGGCTCGTGAGATCAGCCAGGGTGGCTCCCCCTTGGGGCTCCCAAATGATGCCCCTGGCAGCGTTTTGTGACCATGAGGCTCTCAAGAGAGACATGTTGGGGAGGCCAAACGGCAATTTTAGCTGAGACGTCCCACCAAAATCGGCGCGAACGGGCTCGTGAGATCAGCCAGGGTGGCTCCCCCTTGGGGCTCCCAAATGATGCCCCTGGCAGCGTTTTGTGACCATGAGGCTCTCAAGAGAGACATGTTGGGGAGGCCAAACGGCAATTTTAGCTGAGACGTCCCACCAAAATCGGCGCGAACGGGCTCGTGAGATCAGCCAGGGTGGCTCCCCCTTGGGGCTCCCAAATGATGCCCCTGGCAGCGTTTTGTGACCATGAGGCTCTCAAGAGAGACATGTTGGGGAGGCCAAACGGCAATTTTAGCTGAGACGTCCCACCAAAATCGGCGCGAACGGGCTCGTGAGATCAGCCAGGGTGGCTCCCCCTTGGGGCTCCCAAATGATGCCCCTGGCAGCGTTTTGTGACCATGAGGCTCTCAAGAGAGACATGTTGGGGAGGCCAAACGGCAATTTTAGCTGAGACGTCCCACCAAAATCGGCGCGAACGGGCTCGTGATATCAGCCAGGGTGGCTCCCCCTTGGGGCTCCCAAATGATGCCCCTGGCAGCGTTTTGTGATCATGAGAGAGTGTGAGTGAAATCTCTTATCTTGTCTTAGCTTATCTTATATCAACTCATCTTATCGCATCATATCTTGTCTTATCTTATTACTCCATAGGCTGTCTTATCTTATATATTATCCTACCTTGTCATATATCTTATCTTACCTTATCATATCTTGTGCTATCTTATCTTATCTTGTAGTATCTTATCTTGTCTTGTCTTATCTGGTGATTATCATTGGGAGGAGGGAGGCGCGAGCGGGAGGAAGGAGGAGCAGTGGGAGGCGTCAGAGTAATAACAAGAACCCCAATCCTTAGGGAATGGGGAAAAACAACACTTTACCTCGTCATTTATCGCACAAAAATTCGCCGGCAAAAACCGGGAACCCTGGGCCCATGCCCTTTCCGTGAAAAAAAACAGGCGTTTCGCTCGAGACATCCTGTCAACATCCAAAGAATTCCTTGCAAAACAAGCGAATTAGTCGAGACATCCTCAACAAATTATGAAAAAACAAAAAACAAAAAAAAAAAAAAAAAAAAAAAAAAAAAAAAAAAAAAAAAAAAAAAAAAAAAAAAAAAAAAAAAAAAAAAAAAAAAAAAAAAAAAAAAAGTTTCGCTTGAGACATCCTGTGTCAAAATCCAAAGAACTCCTCGCCAAACAAACGAATTAGCCGACACATCCTCAAAATTCATGCGCGCGGGACGCGGCACGCGCGAGACATCCTCGGAATTCCTGCGAGCGGGACGTGAAAACAAGCATTTCACTTGAGACATCCTATCAATTCTGGCCACCCACGGGGCTCCCGCTCGGGACATCCCGTCAATTTTGCAAAACCAGCGTTTCGCTCCAGACCTTCTCTTTTTTTTATATATATATATATATATATATATAAAAAAAAAAAAAAAAAAAAAAAAAAAAAAAAAAAAAAAAAAAAAAAAAAAAAAAAAAAAAAAAAAAAAAAAAAAAAAAAAAAAAAAAAAAGCGTTTCGCTCGAGACATCCTGTCAAAATTCGAAGAATTCCTGGCAGAACAAGCGAATTAGTCGAGACATCCTCAACAAATTATGAACAACAAGCGTTTCGCTCGAGACATCCTGTCAAAGTCTGAAGAAATCCTCACTAAATAAACGAATTAGTCGAGACATCCTCAAAATTCCTGCGCGCGGGACGCGGCACGCGCGAGACATCCTCTGAATTCCTGCGCGCGGGGCGCGAAAACAAACATGTCGCTTGAGACATCCTTTCAATTCTGGCCACCCACGAGGCTCCCGCTCGAGACATCCCCTCAATTTTGCAAAACCAGCGTTTCGCCCGAGACATCCTCAACAAATTCTAAAAAAACAAGCGTTTCGCTCGAGACATCCTGTGAAAATCCAAAGAAATCCTCGCTAAACAAACGATTTAGCCGAGACATCCTTGAAATTCCCGCGCGCGCGGCGCGGCACGCGCGATACATCCTCGGAATTCCTGCGCGCGGGGCGTGAAAACAATCATCTCGCTTGAGACATCCTTTCAATTCTGGCCACCCACGAGGCTCCCGCTCGAGACATCCCCTCAATTTTGCAAAACCAGCGTTTCGCTCGAGACATCCTCAACAAATTCTGAAAAACAAGCATTTCGCTCGAGACATCCTGTGAAAATCCGAAGAAATCCTGGCAAAACAAGCGAATTAGTCGAGACATCCTCGAAATTCCTGCGCGCGGGACGCGGCCCGCGCAATACATCCTCGGAATTCCTTCGCGCGGGGCGCTTTTCTGCGTCGCGGTCGGGGCCCCAGACCACGTTATTTGTCCAGGATTCTGCGAAAAACGCTCCGCGCCTTCTTTTTCACGAAGGAAAACGGGGGTCTGCGGACACTGTTTTTTATCGAGGGTCCGAGATGGGGGGCGCACTTTCCTCGAGCGGGCACGCACGAAACGCACTTTTTCAAAACAAAAAAAATCAGCACTTTACCTCGTCATTTATCGCACAAGAATTCGCCGGCAAAAACCGAGGGGGGGGCTTCTGTAAACCTACTAAAAGAAAACCCTGGGCCCATGCCCTTTCCGGGAAAAAACACAAGGGATTTTTGCGATTTCCGAACTTATGCAACTTCAAGAATCCAAAACTCCGTTCCCAGCGCCGTTCGGGAGGCCGCGGTACCTCGTTATTTATCGAGCGAACGCGTTTACCTAGTTTTTTATAATTTAAAGTCGATGTCGGAAAAAAGTGGACTTCACCTGTGAAATATCAAGGTTTCCTTAAAGGCAGTAAAATTCCAAGAGCACGATCTGCGTGAGGGGTGGCGAAAAATGGCCTTCGTCCTCACAATTTTAATTCGCTGGCCCCATTCGACCTCGTTATTTATCACACAAGAAATTCGCCGGCCCCCTTCAAGTAAAAACCGGGGGTAAACCTACTAAAAGAAAACCCTGGGCTCAGGCCCTCTCCTGGAAAAATGACGGCCGCGACGCCCTCTCGCGAACCGAAAACGGCCAATTCCTTAATCGCTGTGTCAGGGTAGGAGGTCTGTCCACCCCCGAGATACCCAGACGACAGCTGCGCCGAGCGGGGGCGATGCCGCTCCAAAACGGAGCCCTCGCTAGACGCCTCGTTGACCTGTCCGATCCTGCCTTGCCGCTAGCCTTACCAATCACTAGTCCAGGTGCAAGCCAGTTCCTTTTCGAGCCGTGGCTCTCGTTTGAATAGCAGGCCCGTCGGGAGTTTGTCTTTCAAACGGGCGTTTCCCGTAGTAAAAAAGAAAGATGGCAATTTGGGACTTGTGGGGAGGTTTGGGGACGGGAGGGTGTATTGCAGCATCGATGATGTACTACCCTGGGCTTCATCTGATATCCATTCCCTTTCCTCCTCTTGGGCATACGCTAACATGGATGTGGGATCATCGGCTCTGGCGCGTGGTGTCAGATCCACGAATCGGGGAAGATACCCACCGAAACATGGCGGCGCCACTACTGTCCGCTTTGGCGCAGGGTCATGCCGATCCTGTCAGGAAGCAGGACCCATCGCTGATCCGCGCGACCGAATCAGCGTTTGCGTGTCCTCGATCATCCCCCTTCTCCTCCTCCTCCTCCTCCTCCTCCTCCTCCTCCTCCTCCTCCTCCCCTTGCTCCTCCTCCCTCTCCCTCCCTCTCCCCCCCCCCTCCACCCCCTCCCCCATGCTCTTCATCACTTTGTCCCTGCCCCTGCTCGACGCCTGGTGGCGTCCTCCGGCGGCCGTCCGGGACGATCCGGGCAACCCCCCCTCGACGCCCTCGAGGAGGCACCCCGCCGACAGCCAGTGACGACACGCGAGAGCATGGGGTCCCCCGCCGCCCCCCGCCGAGGCCCCAGACGATGGAGGCCTCCTAGATGGGCTCGGAGGATCGCACCGTACCACCCACGCATCGGCGATGCATCGGTACCGTCGGCGTGGAGAATGCCGGGCTCCGCACCGAAGCGTGTCGCCGATGCGTCGGCGATGCGGCGCGATCCTCCGACCCCACCTACTCTAATCCCACATGGAAGCCGTAGACATTTGCGGTCCAAGAATTAATTAGCCGTCGTGAGCTTCCATGAACTCTGGCAGCGCGAGAGACAACTGAAAGAACCCTCATGCAAAACCGCTCCTGGAGCCCTAGGCCAGCCAGATCCATTCGTAATAATCCTGGGGCACGAAGCCGGGCCGACATACCCGGCTCGAAGACATTGAAGCAGAAGAGGCGAGGGACGAGGAGGCGGAGGGACGAGGGTTCAGAGAGACGAGGCGGCAACTAAAAGGCCTGGACCGGGCCGCGGCCCGCCGACGCTCAGCGGACGGCCAGCAACTCCTCGTCCCCTCGCCCCTCTGGGCCCTGAGCGCCGGGAGGTGGCGGCGCGTCCTGGGGGGCGGGGTGGGGCGCAAGGGGGCGAGGGAGGGACCTTGTTGTTGGACTGCAGCGGGCAACCGCCGATGGCATGCCACGGCGCGAGCAGCAAGAGGCTCTCAGGCGACCGCCCGCCAAAAGGCCGCGCCGTGTGCGCGTGGATGGAGGAGGGGAGGAATGAGGGAGCATGCGGGGTCAAGGGGGAAGGAGCGCAGAGGAGCGACGGAAGGACTTTCCCACGACGTTCCCCGAGGACGAGGAGCGACGGAAGGAAGGACGGGACGGAGGGAGATGGGAAGAGAACACATGAGGAAAGGAGCGATAATGGAAAAGGGAGGAGTGAGAAGGGTGTGCGCGACGGGGGGTCTCACGCGCAGTGTGCCCCTTCCTTGTGTATGCCTGGGGACTCAGGCCTGGAAAGAGCGGCGATGGGAGCGCCTTCGTCGCTGCGGCAACGTTTCCTGGCAAAGCGCCACAAGCACCGCCTGGCAACGAATCTGGGGCGAGTCTCGCTGCGACGCGCGGTGCGCACTCTGGGACATGAGCTGGTGTCAAGCCCTACACTCACGTCGGGCATGTCCCCCTGCAGGCGGATTCTGGACGAGAAATGAAAAATAGTCAAACATACCCCGCCTACGGTGGCACCGTAGGGGTATAAACTTTCCAGCCGCCCAGGGACAGGCGCCCCGCGACAGCGAAAAAGTGTATGTTATACCGTTCTTCGCCCGTTAATCCAAGGTGGAGCGCCACCAGCGCAACGCCACTTGCGAACAACGCCTGGCATGAACGCGACAGGGGGGCGCAAGCGAGCAGAACGGTTGGTCGAAGAGGGCGCGACGACGGAGAGCACGGCTGGACAGGGGGGAAACACGCAGAGAGAGAGAGAGGGAACCACCACTGGATAAACCGGACGACGCCTGAAGGCGGGGAAGACAAGGGCCGCATGGGCGACGGCCCAAATGGCGCCAATGCGGCCTGCTTTTCTTTGGACGACCGACATGGGCACGGAAAAAATGGGCACAGTGCCCAACAACAAATGTTGTCCCAAACCAACAGCGGCCGCTGTTGGGCAGGCGGCCATCTGTCTCAAATGGACACAGGCCGCGGCGACACCGACAGCGAGTCCTGTTCAGAATGAACAGGAACTGCTGTTGGGCATTGTACAAATTCTTTCCGTACCCATTTCGGACGTCCAAATTTTCGGGGAACCCCACGCCAGAGCGGTCCAGCCAGACTTTGCCGCGGGCGCGAACATCAGCGGGCGTAGACTCCAGAGGCAGCAGAACCCAGCGGGCGCAATCTTCCACAGGCGCCAACTCCAGCGGGCGCTGGCGTCGGCGGGCCGGGCGCAGGCTTCAGCGAGCGCAGTCTCCAGAGGTCGCAGACTTCTGCCGGCGCAGCAATTGTTGGGCGCTCGCGCCCGTGGGCACAAGCCTCAGCGGGCGCCGGCTTCGCCGGGATCGCGCGTCGGCGGGCGCGCGCTCGCAATGGCGCCGGCTCCCGCGGGCGCAGGCTTCAGAGGGCGCAGACGCTGGCGGGCGCAGACCGCGCATGCGTCGCTGGGCGCGGAAGCCCGCGCGCGCAGACCTCTGCGGCCGCAAACGTCTGCGGGCGCGGGCGTGGGCGCAGGCTTGAGGAGGCGCAGAGGCCAGCGGGCGCAAAGGTCCGCGGGGGCAAACTGTACAAGAGTCCCAGACATCCGACGTCTCGATTTTTTCGAGATGTGGGCCCCCGACCTCCCGATCACTTCCCCGGGACCAGTTTTTCATCCCGCGTCGTTCTTTGACGGTCCCGGGGCCCTGCAAGGGCCCCGAGAGGCCGAAACCGACGAAAAACCCTCGTCTCGATTTTTTCGAGACGCCCGATGTCTGGGATGGGCGAAGATACCACAAGGCGCGGGAGCACGCAGCGCATCAGAGGGCGCAGACGTCGCGTGCGCGGGGGGCCCGATTCTCTCGGAGACTTCGGGGTCGGCGCAGCGGACGGGTTATACTCCCGGGGGAGGCAGACGAAGCACCGAGTGGATTGCACGACTTGACTGCGCTTCTCGACGCGGCAACGGGGATGACGCGTCGTCCGCTCGAACTGACTAACCTCAGTGCGCGGCCGCTCCGCGGCTTGGCTGCGCCTCTCGACAGCTCGAGTGCGCTGCCCTCCTGCTACTTGACTGCCCAGACGTGGGCGCGAGCTCGGTTCTGGCTGCGCGGGCGCGTCTTGCACGCCCGAGTTGACGTGCGCTGGCGGCAACAAGGAGGGCGCTCCAGCTCAACGCGCCCGCAGAAAGCCTAGCATGCAAGCCCAACTCGAACCCATCGGCGCCATTGACTACCTACCAGACCACCCCAACCCAACCCGAAGACCCGAACTTCGCCCGAATTTCGGGTTGTGGGGGGGTCCGGATTTCATGTCTATGTTTTTCAAAATGTTCCCCGACCCCCCCACCACCTGGCCATCGCTCGGACGTCCATTCCCTGTGCACTTTTTGGTTTCGTGCGTGGTTTTTGCGCCAGATGGTCGAGGATTGTCCTCGATGGTTCTCGCCGAGAAAAATGCACACGTCCGATGCCAAGCCAACTGGAAATGGAGGGCAGATCGGGGCCTTCGGGTTGGGTTGGGGTGGTTTGCTGGAAGGCGAGCCATGGCCAGCGGAAACGTGGCAAGCCACCCTCTGCGGTCGGGACCTGGGTCACCACCGCTCGCAGCGGGGGCCTCGCTAGCCACCGCGCACCGTACCGGGGCCCTAAGCAGCCCTGCCCCGCAGCGGGGACCTTACCAGCCAACCTTCCTTCCTGGTGGCGTCGAGGGAAGATCCATAGACGTTGGAGGCCTGGAAATAGGCACCAACACCAGCAGAGGGGGTTGCCTCCACATGGGGGAGACGATCCTAGATTTCGGCGTTCGTGGTAATATTTTGGTCACCTTGGAAGCCCGAATATGACCACCATCACCGAGATCGGGATCGTCTTCCATCGGTGGAGGCACACTGCCGATCCTGGTGTTTGTGTCAACCTCTAGGCCTGGATGAATGGCCACTTTGATCTCACTGCGTTGATATACGAGCCCCTTCGGAGGTAGCTTGTGTTGCCTCATAACGGGCACATTTAAGACCGAGGACTGTGCCCAAATGAGGCCGTGTATGGCCTCAGGCGTGCCCGGAATCACCCCAATAACGTTCCAAGTGGGATCCAAGATGCCAGGTTTCGGGCTCCAGACGGGCAGTGTGAATTGGCATCGGCTCGTTATTCCTTTGAGGGCCTCCAATATCGCCCAAAGATGGCACATCAGCTCCCGAGATGAACCGAACAAAGCCGGAAGAGAGCCAGAATGACCCCCAAAAAGACTCCTAGGAAGCTCCGATACGGCTCCAAAAAGGCCCCCGACGGACTCCAAGATGTCTCTGAGCTCGCTATTGTTGGCCGTTCTGCGTCATCGTCTGTTGGCATATGTCCAGTCGCCCGACAGCTTACGTGGTCACCTTTACTGGATGATCTCTCATGGAGGCGCGAGAAGTGTCGCGAACACCGAAAAACATGCGGCCTACAGTGTGCTCACTAGAGCGCGCCTGACATCGGGAGACCCTTCGCGCGGGGGCGTAGCACGGCGCCTTCTCTGCGTGCGTCTGCCAGTGTCTCCGCGAGGAAATGCAATTGCGCTACCTGTTCGGACTAGGATACGTGGCTTAAGGCAGCAGCGCGACCGACTTCCCTCGACATTGCGGCAGGCAGCAATATCCAGCACCGAGTGGTGAAGCGGGAGCGGAATCGAACAACAGTGGGTATAAGAATGACTCGGCACAACAAACTATCAGCCAGCGTTGACTCCAAATAGATTAGAAGACTCAAATCAAGGACTCAGACACATAAAGCATGCTTGGAATCCGCAACTCAGCAAGCAAGCACGCGTGCAAGCAAGCGCGCAAGCAAGCAAGCAAGCAAGCAAGCACGCGTAAGCAAGCAAGCAAGCAAGCGTGCAAGCAAGCAAGCAAGCACGCAAGCAAGCACGCAAGCAAGCAAGCAGGCAGGCATAGGCATAAGAGTAGGCATAGGAGGTATGGGGGCGTAGATATAGGCATAGGCATAGCCATAGGAATTAGGGGGGGCATCGGAATTGGGGGGCAACGGAGCAATTAGTAGGGTTTGAGCTCGGACTCTTATAGGACAAACCTTTTTGGAAAACAAAGGACATAGCAATCGGAATAGGAGTACAGTTGGGTAGAAGAGGGCGACGCGTGACCAGAGCAATGCATCGCATCTCATAGCAGAAGGGCAACGACAACAACACAGCGTAAGAAAGTACATCAGAGTACTTGAGCTAGTTATTAATGTGCGCCCTGTTGCTGGGTGCAGGATGTTACGAGACCGACATCAGAGCAACTTTGATAATTATGATCGGTGCTGGGGCCACATCAACTTGCTCCCAACGCTCTCTTGATTACCGAAGGTATTCCAGGATCAGTGCCCCCAAACATCTCGCGTTTCCAAAAGAGGGCCTCCTCTGACCCAATGTCACACGCAACCCCTTCCATGAGAGGAACAGGAAAGGGGGGAGGAGGCAGGAGGAACTAGGGCGGAGTGAGTAGCCAGTCTCGATCTTATCCCTGGCCCTAAGCTTGACAAGCCCGAAGGCGACGGCAATAGTAGAGATGCTCCCTCAGAAACGGAGGGAGCATCCTCGCGATCGGCGTCGAAAAGAGGCGATGCCAGCCGTAGGGATAGGGAATAAGGATATGCCTCGGGCCGGTCAGGGGAGGGAGGGAGGCAGGCCATCGCCGCGTCCTGCCAGCACACGGCGGTGTAGTCGGCGCAGCAGGAATCGGACTCGTGGCACGCGGGGTTGCACTGGCAGATGCGGCTGTCGCCGAGGCCCGCGCCGCACCCGTACCTCAGACGGCCGGGGGGGTCTCGTGCGGGAACAGCCCTCGTGAATCGCCCGGGGGGGTTTCACGGGGGCGAGGTAGCCCGGCGGGTGCCTCCAAGGACAAGGACACTGCTCGGCGCAGAGGATTCTCGCGGATCATGTCTGGGAGGCCTGGACTCTCGCAATCTTCTCACGGGAGAGTCAGAGGGTGCTCCACTCAGACATCTTTCGCCCTCCTCCTGCTCCTCCTGGTCTATCCTCCCCTTCCTGTTCACCATGCTCCTCGATTCTCGTCCGATCCCTGGGGGGGTGGAACACAACTTCCTTCTCATCCAGTCCACGAGCGAATCGACATCGCTCAACACGCCCACGATCCCGTCCGGCCAATGCTCCGGGCAAGATGACATGGAGCGACTCCGGCCGGAGCGACGAGGGCCCTCCGAAAAAGAGGCCAAGAGACCAATGAAGGCGAAGCCGGATAGCGGCATCGATGTAATTCTCTCCTGCGCATCCCGACCCAAGACCGATCGGTCCATCCCGGCCGGTTTTCTCCCCCAGTCCCGGGCGCTCGCTGATCCGCCCCGAATGGCATCGCTGTTGCCACAGGCGCCAATCTGCGGCTCCTCCTCCACTCCCTCTCCCTCGCCCAAAATTCCCGCCTTCCCACACACCCCTCCTCGTATCCTCTTCCTCCCTGCCAGCTTCCCGCCCTCCCCCCTCCTTCCCGCCCTCCCTTGAGACCCGACGGCGCGAAAACATGATCGACCCACGAACCGGATATGGAAATGTGAAGCATGGGAATTATTCGAGACACCAAACAATTTCAATGCTCAAGGTAACGCAGGTGATGTACCGTGCCAGGGGATGTGTTGTGCTGTGCTGTGATGAATTGAAATGTGCCATGCCGCGTTGAACTGTGCTGTGTTTTGCGTTGTGGATCAGATCTTTCTTGGCATTATAATCCTGACCGAGCGAATCCGGATCTCAAATTCGAACTGCCTGGAGGCATATCTCGAACTAGTCGCAATCGAACCGCGCGGGGCGCTCGACCAACGCTCGAGATCTGATTCGGTTCCGTAAGGGGACGAGCCAAGAGGGGGGCGACTGCGAACCGACGCGAAACGCATCGAATGGACGGACCGAAGCTCGGCGAACCAACACGCCACGAATTGCAACAAGACGAACCGCAACGATACGAACCGAGACGATGGCCGCATCGACCCGAATCGAAGCGAGACAAGACAAACCAAGACGAAAACGCTTCGGCTCACCACCCTGAAACTGCATGGCGTCGCCTGACGAGGGAGCCGCATTCCGAGGTGCCATAGCCCCCCGCAAATAACCAGGGCCGCGATCTGGCGCAAATTGTTCTTGATGCGTGCTGTGCTGCACTGTGCTGCGTCATGCTGTGTTGAACTGTGCTGTTTTTTGTTGCGCTGTGGATCAAACCATCCTTGGCACCCCAATCCAGTCCGAACCGATGTGGATCTTAAGCTCAAACTGCCTACGCGCATGGTTCGCCGACGGAGGCTGCAGTCGTAACATGCGGGGCATTTCAACCAGCTCGAACTCAATAGCTGCTCCAATTCCGAAGTGGGACGAACCGATCGGGGGGCGAATCCGAACCGAAACGCACCCAGACGACGACAAGACCCCCGCACGACACCTCCTCAAACAATGTAACACCAGCATTTCGCGAGAGGCATCACCAACACATCCTGCAGAGGAAGGCTTTCGCTGCAGGCAAGGCCCTCGCTCGGGAATCCCTGAACAAGTCCTGCAGCACGAGCGTTTCGCTCTCGACACCCCCAACGCACTCATGTCAGTGATTCGCCTGGGCGGCCTGGACACGTGAAAAACAAAGTTTCGCTCGAGACACCCTCGACACATCCTCATGTTAGAGATCCGCATGCGCGACCTGGAACAAGCGTGAAAACACGTGGGTCCCTTTCGACCCAGAGCCGAGCAAGCGTGAGAGCACGTGCGCCCCAGGGCGGAGCAAGCGTGAAAGCACGTGGGTCACTTCCGCGCCTGAGCGGAACACGCGTGAGATCATTTTTTTATTCCGGCCGGTAACGCTCGTTACCCGGGGGGGGGGGGGGGGTCGTGCCCCCCGGGTAACGGTAACGCTTGGGCTGGGCGGGGTATGGCGAAGCAGGGGCGCTCTGCGATCGCCATAGTATGCGCGCGAGCAGCACTCTCTGCCTGAGAGCACCACAGTGGCTTGCGATTCGAGTACAAGCGCAAAGCCCGCCGCGTGGTCCCGGCACCACGCCCGCGCCCGCGCGCGCGACGACGATGATCGACGAGCGACGAGCGACGAGGTCGACGACGACGACGACGACGTTTGCCGCCTGTTTCGGCCTCCGGAGGCCGTTTTCGGGCGCCGTCGACGACGACGACGACGACGACGACGACGACGACGACGACGACGACGACGACGACGACGATTCGAGTACAAGCGCAAAGCCCGCAAGCACCAGCATCGCGCATGCGAGCGCCGCAATGGCCTGCGAGCGCCCACAGTGCGCCTGCGACCACCACACCACAGTGCGCATGCCTTCGGGCACCAGCATGTTGGAGGGGAAGACCGAGACCCCCCCCGCGTACGAGCGTTACCGTTACGGGGGGGGGGGGGGGGAGAGGCCCGGGTAACGAGCGTTACCCCCCAGAGGATAAAAAAACAATCTCCGTGAGAGCACGTGGGTCCCTTTCGCGCCGGAGCGAGGCACCTGTGAAAACGCACGGGCCCCTTGCGTCCCAGAGCGGAGCAAGCGTGAGAACAAGTGGGCTCCTTTCGCGCCAGGGCGGAACAAGCGAAAAAGCGCGTGGGCCCCTTTCACTCCAGAGCGGAACAAGCGTGAAAGCACGTGGGTCGCTTTCGCGCCCGAGCAACAAACATGAAAACAAGCGTTACCCTCGAGACGTTCTCAACACCTCCTCATGCTAGACATCCGCCTGGGCGGCCTGGACACGTGAAAGCAAACGTCTCGCTCGAGACATCCTCAACACATCTTCATGTTAGACATCCGCCTGGGCGACCTGGGCAAGTGAAGACAAGCGTTCCGCTCGAGAAGTTCTCAACACATCCTCATGCTGGACATGCGCCTGGGCGACCTGGACACGTGCAAACAAGCGTCTCGATCGAGACTTCCTCAACACATCCTCATGCTAAAATTCTGCCTGGGCGACCTGGACGCGTGAAAGCAAGCGTCTCGGTCGGGACATCCTCAACTAATCCTCATGCTAGACATCTGTCTGGGAAACCTGGACGCGTGAAACCAAGCGTCTCACTCGAGACACCCTCAAAACCTGGGCACGTGAAAACAAGCATTTCACTTGAGAGATCCTCTGAATTCTGGTCCCCAGGAGAGGACAAGCTGTAACACAAAACAAGCGGTTCGCTCGAGACATCCTCAACAATTTCTGAAACACACGCGTTTCGCTCGGGACATCCTCAAAACTAATGTCGCCGGCCCTACGCAACCTCGTCATTTACCGCAAATCATTTCGCCGGCCCTAGAGCCGTCGACTCCTAGGGGAAACCCCCACAAGAGGACCCTGGGCCCGCGAACCCTTCCCGAGCCCACGGTCTTCGTCGTCCTGTCCGCCCCCCCGCCATGCCCCCGATCTTGGAACTCCAAAAATGCTATTTCTAAAGACCGATGGATACGTCGGCCCCTGAGGCCGTTGCCACTGCGACTGTCATTGCGAATGCGACTGCGACTGCGAGAACAGCAGAATTCTACAACTGGATTCTCACCCGAATCTTAAGGGGAATGCTTCCTGATATGCTTATACACATCGCTGTTAGGTTGCTTTGCCGGGATAAGTTTCAAAGACCGATGGATAGGTCTCGACGCACTCCCCGAGACCAACTTTTCGTCCCGAATCTCTTTGCCTCACCCGTCCTGGGGCCCGGCGAGGGCCCCCGGAGGCCTGCCGCGGGCCTCCCGCCCCGACTCCTTTTCCACGACGCGAGCACGTCTGGCTCGTCACCCTTCCTTCGCGCTTGCCTCTGCGCTTCTGTCGGGCGCGTCCCCCTACAGGGGGATGTTCGACAACAAATTGATAAAACAAAAAAAATAAATCAAACATGCACCAGAACGGTAAAACAAATACCCCACAAATAGTCCCCAGACTATGTTTGGATTATGTTTTGACTAGTTTGGAAGTCTTTTTCATTTTTCGTCGAAAATCCCCCTGTAGAGAAACAGGCCCGACTTAAGTAACTCTTCGCTCTGCCCTCCCCCCTGTCTCGGCCTCCGATCTCCCTCCCCCCAGCCCCCGGATTTGCCGCCCGGGCGCCTCGCGCAGCTGGCCCCGCGGAGCTCCTCGGGCCGCGCCGCCGCGGCGACCTCCGCGGCGGGAGGCGCTGCGACGCGGGCGCGTGGCAGCGGGGGGACAAGGGGGAGGAGGAGAAGGAGGAGGACGAGGAGGAGGAGGAGGAGGAGGAGGAGCGGGAGGGGGAGGAGGGGGGAGGAGGAGGAGGAGGAGGAGGAGGAGGAGGAGGAGGAGGAGGAGGAGGAGGAGGAGGAGGGGGAGGGGGACGGGGAGGGAGGAGGAGGAGGAGGAGGGACGAGGAGGAGGAGGAGGAGGGGGAGGAGGGGCGGCGGGGGGGGGGGGAGGAGGAGGAGGAGGAGGAGGAGGAGGGGAGGAGGAGGAGGAGGAGGAGGAGGAGGAGGAGGAGGAGGAGGAGGAGGGGGAGGGGAGGGGGAGGGGGACGAGGAGGAGGAGGAGGAGGGGGAGGAGGAGGACGAGGAGGAGGAGGAGGAGGGGGGAGGAGGTGGCGGCGGGGGGGGGGGAGGGAGGAGGAGGAGGAGAGAGGAGGAGGGAGGAGGAGGAGGAGGAGGAGGAGGAGGAGGGGAGGAGGAGGAGGAGGAGGAGGAGGATCAGGAGGAAGGGGGGAGAAAGGGGATGAGGAGGACGAGGAGGAGGAGGAGGAGGAGGAGGGCAGGAGGAGGAGGACGAGGAGGAGGAGGAGGAGGAGGAGGAAAAGAGGCCCCCAAGAGGCTCACAAGAGGCCCGAAACTGCTCCCAAGAGGCCCCCGGGAGCGCTCCCAAGAGACCCGCAGACGCATCCCTGAGAACTCTGACCCGCAACCCAGGCACGGTGACGGCATGGGCCGAAGGCCACTCGAAATGTGATGTAACCACAGAAGCGTCGCAAATAAGATGGCTTCGCCCCAGGGTTGTAAAATGCCCTCCCGCCGCGACCTTCTGCTGCTCCGCGAACCTCTGCGCGGCGGCAAAGGCCCGCTCCTCCTGACTTGGGCTCGCGCCGCGAGCGGGGGAGGAGAAGGGGGGGGGAGGAGCAGGGTCCTCCCAAGTCCCGCCTACCTCCCTGCCTCTCGCCCCATCCACCCTCCCCACTTTCCCTCCCTCCATCCTCCCTCCTCTCCTCCTCCTCCCTCCCCCCCCCTCCTCTCCCTTGCTTGCCAGACTCTGGCCGCACCACCTTGGCTGATACTACCCCCTCCTCTCCCTCCTCCTCCCCTCTTCACATTCCCCTCGCTCCTCAGGCCCCACGCTCCTCCTTGTGGGGATGGCAGGACAGTGGGTGAAGGGGGGGGAACGAGAGGGACGGAAGGGCGAACGAGAGGTGGGGGAGGCAGGGAGAGGGAAGGGACGACAGGTGGACGGGGGACAGTTACTGATGGGAGGGGAGAAATGGAAAGGGGCTGGAACCGAGGCTTCGGGGAGAGGAGGGATGGAAAAGGACACAAGTAAGAAACGGAGACAGCATGGGAGAAGCAGAAGGGGAGGGGATGGGAGAAGATGAGAAGGGGGAGAGGCGAGGAGAGAGGGCCGATTGCGTGGTGCCCGGTCCTCTGCCTCTTCCTCCATGTCCGTCGCCGATGGGCCAGAGATGGCCTTTGGGAGGTGGAGGAGGAGATAGGTGAGGAGGAGGAGGAGGAGGGGGGAGGGGGAGGAAGGATCAACACACAAGTACGTAGACACAAATCCCAAGATCTCCCATATGTTCTCATATTTTCTGAGTTTTCGTCTTCCCCCCCCACTTCCCATATTTTCCCACATTTTCCTGTGGATCCACGATTCATTGTGTCTGCGTGTTTTTGTTCCCCTTCTGACCTTCATCCTTCTAGGTGCAGCGACAACGCGTATTAAGGACGGGTGCTAAGGACGCAAGGCCCCTGGCGGCCGAAGTTGGGATGTTTGGGGCGGCGGGCGACCCAAACCCCAATGGAAACGGTAAAGGAACGGCCGCAGAGGCAAGGACACAAGGGTACCGTACAAAAAGGCGGGCGTCCTTACTATGCGCATTGACTGTAGGTGTGGGAACATCGTTCGGACGTCCATTCCCGTGCATGGTTCGGCCTCGTGCGTATGTTTTTTCTCGCAAGATGAGCCAGGACGCTCCGCGATGGCCCTCGCTAAAAACATGATCGACCCACGAACCCGGAAAGGAATATAGGAATGTAACGCATGGCATGGCAACGTTTTCAAAGACACCTGATTGGGTGACGGGCAAGTGCAATGCTGATTGTGTCGATCTCGATGTAACCGTGCCGAGGGCTGTGCTGTGCTGCACCGTGCTGCACCGTGCTGCACCGTGCTGAATTCGATGTGCCATGCCGCGGTTGTGCTCTATAGCGTCGTGGATCGAGTCCTCCTTTGCATCCGAGTCCTGACCGAACTGATCTGGATCTTAAGCTCGAGCTGCCTGAACACATAGTAGCTGCCCCAGAGCTAATTGACAGGGGGACATGCCAGGAGGACGCGCCGCGGAACGTCCCAAGGGACGCGCCAGGCGACATGCCAGGGGACGTGCCATGGGGTCGCACCGTAGGACGTGCCAAGGGGACGCGCTACGGAACGTGCCAATGGATGTGCCACGGAATGTGCCAGGGGACGCGCCACGCGACGTGCCAGGGGGACTCGCCAAGGGACGCCCCACGGAACGTGCCAAGGAACGTGCCAAGTTGCAATGCTGATGTATCGATCTTGATGTACCGTGCCGAAGTCTGTGCTGTGCTGCACCGTGCTGAATTGCGATGTGCCATGCCGCGGTTGTGCTCTATAGCGTCGTGGATCGAGTCCTCCTTTGCATCCGAGTCCTGACCGAACTGATCTGGATCTTAAGCTCGAGCTGCCTGAACACATAGTAGCTGCCCCAGAGCTAATTGACAGGGGGACATGCCAGGAGGACGCGCCGCGAAACGTCCCAAGGGACGCGCCAGGCGACGTGCCAGGGGACGTGCCATGGGGTCGCACCGTAGGACGTGCCATGGGGACGCGCTACGGAACGTGCCAATGGATGTGCCACGGAATGTGCCAGGGGACGCGCCACGCGACGTGCCAAGAGGACTCGCCAAGGGACGCCCGACGGAACGTGCAAAAGAACGTGCCAAGTTGCAATGCTGATTGTATCGATCTCGATGTAACCGTGCCGAGGGCTGTGCTGTGCTGCACCGTGCTGAACTGCGATGTGCCATGCCGCGGTTGTGCTCTATAACGTCGTGGATCGAGACCTCCTTTGCATCCGAGTCCTGACCGAACTGATCTGGATCTTAAGCTCGAGCTGCCTGAACACATAGTATCTGCCGCAGAGCTAATTGACAGGGGGACATGCCAGGAGGACGCGCCGCGGAACGTCTCAAGAGACGCGCCAGGCGACATGCCAGGGGGCGTGCCACGGGGACGCACCGCGGGACGTGCCAAGGGGACGCGCTACGGAACGTGCTGGGGACAAGCGGTTCGCTCGAGACATCCTCACGTGAAAACAAACGTTTCGCTCAACACATCCTCAACACATTCTCATGCTAGACATCCGCCTGGGCGAACTGGACACGTGAAAAAAAGTAGTTCGCTCGAGACATCCTCAACACATCTTCATGTGAGACGTCCGCCTGGGTGACCTGGGCACGTGAAAACAAGCGTTTCGCTCGAGACGTTTTCAACACCTCCTCATTATAGACATCCGCCTTGGCGACCTGTACACGTGAAAGCAAACGTCTCGCCCGAGACATCCTCAACACATCTTCATGTTAGACATCCGCCTGGGCGACCTGGACACGTGAAAACAAGCGTATCGCTCGAGACATCCTCAACACATCTTCATGTGAGACGTCCGCCTGGGCAACCTGGACACGTGCAAACAAGCGTCTCGATCGAGACTTCCTCGACACATCCTCATGCCAGACATCCGCCTGGGCGACCTGGACACGTGAAAACAAGCCTCTGGTTCGAGACTTCCTCAACAAATCTTCATGCTAGACATCTGTCTGGGCCACCTGGAGGCGTGAAACCAAGCGTCTCGCTCGAGACATCCTCAAGACCTGGGCACGTGAAAACAAGCAATCCACTTGAGAGATCCTCAGAATTCAGGTCCCCAGGAGAGGACAATCTATAACACATAACAAGCGTTTCGCTCGAGACATCTTCAACAAATTCTGAACAACAAGCGTTTCGCTCGAGACATCCTCAAATTTTAATTCGCCGGCCCTTCGTGACCTCGATATTTATCGCAAAAGAAATTCGCCGGCCCATCTCCAGGGGTAAACCTCTAAAAGAGAACCCTGGGCCTAAGCCCTTTCCGGGAAAAAAGAAATCGCTATCCCCTTTTTGTGACTGCTGCGCAGTGTCAAGCTCCTGGGCACAAAATGTGAGGACATCATGCGCCAGAGCCGAAGCTTCAAAGGACATCTGAACCACTATTGTGCAGCTGCTGCGCCACTCTACCTCCGCTGGAGCACATGATCCATGTCTCAGGGTGAGAAGGGCACCTTGAACATAAGCCGCCCTCCACCTGTGCAAATGCATAAAGTAGGTTTACCACGAATGCGAACAACGCGAGCACTTGAACTAGAGTTTGACACCCTGTCCTACGCCCGTATGGCTATGGCATGCTGCTCGGACGAACCTGCGCAACGCTGGGGGGAGAACCACCATCTAAATTCGACTCGTCCTCTTTCTGTGTTGTGTGTGCGCTGGGAACGTGCATGGCCAACGTGCAAAGCGGTGGGCCACAGTTTGAAGACGGCCGGCCATCCATATGTGGGAACTCCCGAGCTCCATCTTTTGAACCACGATGGACTACAGACGGAGCTCTGGACTACAAGGGGGAAATAACAGAACGGGAAGGAGGAGGAGGAGGAGGAAGAGCAAGGTGAAGGATTGTGAGAAGCGGAGCATGAGGAGGACAGATGATGATGATGATGGTGATGATGATGCTGATGATGATGATGATGATGACGATGATGATGATGATGATGATGATGGTGCTGATGCTGCTGCTGCTGATGATGATGACGATGGTGATCATGATGGATGTTATATGATGATGGTGATGATGGTGATGATGATGATGATGATGGTGATGATGATGATCATGATGGCGATGATATGGCGACGATGATGAGGATGATCATGATGACGACGCTAATGATCATGATGATGACGACGATGATGATGATGGTGAGGGTGATGCTGATGATGATGACGAAGATGACGATAAAGATGTAGATAACGATGATGAGTATGAATATGAATACGATGCCGATGACAATGACGACAATGACAACAACGACGACGACGAGATAACGAAGACGATGATGACGATGATGACGATGATGCTGATGCTGATAATGAGGATCAGGATGATGCTGATGCTGCTGATGATGATGGTGCTGCTGCTGATGATGCTCATGATGCAGATGCTGATGCTGATGCTGCTGCTGCTGCTGCTGCTGCTGATGATGATGATGATGATGATGATGATGATGATGATGATGAGACTCCGCATCGGCATGGATGAACCCCTCGCTGGGGGGAGACCAACCAAATAGACATTATTCTCTGTGGGGCCGAGGAGGGCGGGACTCCATCGAGGACGGCGAGGACGGGGACCCCAGACCCCAGACGCCGTGACAGTTTCGACATTCGTGTCGACCCCCAGAGATCTGGAACCCATCCCTGGGACCAGCGTCTCATCCCGAGTCGTCTCGTGACAACCCCGAGGCCCAGGGGAAACTGGCGCTCGAACTTCTCCGAACGTGCCCAAGGGTGATCCGAACTGTTCGGTGCGAAACCAATACGATGTATAATGTCGGTCACGCTTTCGGTCAGACTGCGTTTCGGACACAGTTTCGGGTGACACAATTTCGGGTACGTTTTCTGCCATCGACGTTCTTTGTTGACATACCTTGTCGGCTGGTCGGGGCCCATGACACGTATCTTGCCCTTCGACAAAAGGTGAGGTTGGAGGCGGCTGTCTGGGGCCCGAGAAAATGGGTCAAGGGGGGATAATGGCAACTCCGCTCAGAATTTCTCCCTGGACCCCTCCTGTTTGGACGCCCGAAATGGGTACGGAAATAATGGGTACAATGCCCAACAACAAATGTTGTCCCAAACCAACAGCGGCCGCCGTTGGGCAGGCGGCCTTCTTTCTCAAATGGACACAGGCAGCGGCGGCGCGGACAGCGAGTCCTGTTCAAAATGATCAAGAACTGCTGTTGGGCATCGTACCCATTCTTTCCGTGCCCATCTCGTGCGTGCAGATCCTGGGGTCCATCACTTCTGTCCCGGACCCGTTTTTGGCGGCCCCATGGAACCCCAGGACGTCCCCTGGAGGCCGAAAACGGGCAGACAGCAGCAGAACACGCGCCCCTCGAACACCCTATAAGCCTCGCACCTCCAACCTTCCCCCCTCCCTCCTGCTGCCCGGAACTGGTGCTGGGTGCTGAGGCCCCGTGAAACGACCGGCGTGCTGACCCCCCCCCCCCCCTTCGCGACAAGGGGTGCGTCGCCCGTGCGCCGCCCGTGCGCCGCCCGTGCGTCGGCCGCCGAAAAGGCCAGCCGTCCCTGCGAAACAGCACTGCTGGGCCACCTCGGAACCCCCGCCGGGTCCAAGCCGAGGGCCGCCGCGGGCCTCCGCCGCAGGGCCACAGCCGTCGGCCGCCGAGGGCCGCCGGGGGCCTCCGAGAGCCGCCCGAGGGCCGGGGGGCCCTCCGATGGGGGCCCTCCGAGCGCGGCGCCTCCGAGGACGGGCCGCGCGAGGGGCAGCCCGCGGCGCCCCGAAGCCCGACGGCCGCCCGAGGGGGCCCCCCCGAGCGCGGCTCCCCGCGCGGGGCCTCCGCGCCCGCGGCGCCCTCGCCGCCCGCCGCGGCCCCGCCGCCCGGCGGGCCCGGTCGGGGATCGCCCTCGCCTGGGGGGGCAGCGGGGGGGGGGCAGTGGGGCGGACAGTTGGAGAGGAGTGGGGGGGGACAGTGGGGGGGGGGGGAACAGAGGGGGGGGGGGAGAGTGGGGGAAGGGACTGTGGAAGGGGACAGTGGGGGGGGGCAGTGGGGGAGGAGAGAGCGTGAGGGGTGAGGGGGGAGCGGGAGGGGACAGTGGGGGGAGAGTGGGAGGAGACAGTGGGGGGGGGGGGACAGGGGGGGGGGGGCAGTGGGGGGCGCAGTGGGGGGGACAGTGGGAGGGGACAGTGGGCAGGACTGTGTGAGGGGACAGCGAGCGGGAACAGTGTGAGGGGACAGTGGGAGGGGACAGCGGGGGGGGACTGTGGGAGGGGACTGTGGGGGAGGGGACCGTGGGGGGGGGACTGTGGAGGAGGGTACTGTGGGAGGGGACAGTGGGAGGGGACTGTGAGAGCATGGCCACGTGCCCCTTGTTTTTTGCCATTGATCGTGGGCGTCCAGACCAAACTATATATCTATACATAACAGGTTTTGACACAATTCCAAATAGATCGTCCGGAGGTCTCAAGCGAAACGGCTGCCCGACTGGGCGTCCTCGGGATCCCCGTCCCCCCTGTGTGACTCTTCGGTGGTCTTCTTCTTTACCCCTGCTAGGATCCTTCAGCGAAGCGCTATCAGGGCAAGGCGGCCGGCCGGACTGAAACAAGTCAGAATGTCGAAGGTCGGAACGGCCAACATCCCTGGTAGAACATGCGCTGCGGCGCACGTGGCCGTGCTCTCACCCTTGTCCCAGATGTTTTTTTTGTTTCTCAAGGCTTCCCGGCCGTGCTTCGCCTAATCCTCGGCACGCCTCTTCACCCTTGCTGCTACTAGCGTGCCTTGCAGGGGTCATTGGGTGTCACGGGGCCCGAGGGCGAGCCTCAGAGTGCAAACTCGAACAACAAACGTTCGGGATGTGCAACGCAGATCGTCGAAGGTGTGGGTTTCCTACACTGCGACCTCCCTCCAATCCAAAAGGTATGAAAAAGGTGGAGATTGCCGCCTGGGAAAAACAGTAGGGCGGATATGCACACAAAGGTATGGCGGAAAAGGCAGCGGCAGTAGGGCAGACATCGACATCAAGGGAGCTTGAACAGTAGGGCGGTAATGTCCGCCCTACAGCGGGGCTGCTGCAAGAAGGAACCCTAAATAAGGAACGAAGCCCCTTGTTGGCGCCAGAAGAGCCTGGGTACACGAGAAGGGCCAGAGAAACAACCACCGAACGACCCAAGGAACAGCGAGCCCCTTCCGAATCCAACGCGGCTCTTGTTCCAGCGTCTCGACTGTAGGGCGGCAGTGTCCGCCCTCCTTGCGAGGTCGCCCAAAGCGTGTCCAACGCCAGGGTGAGCTTCCCTCCCTGCGACCTTCCTTTGAGCAGGGACCGACCGTCCCGGCATTCCTATAGTCCTACCACGAAATGTTCTTAGAACCCAAAAATGTTCTAGAAGCAAAAAACAATGTTCTTAGAACAGAAACCCGATGTGTTAAACCAAGACAGACTCCGCCAGAAATGTTCTAAGAACATCTCGTGGAAACCGCAAACGGTTCTTAGAACATTGCTTGGCGGGGCTATAGTCGGGAGCGGCCAAGAGGGGGGGGTCCAAGAGGGGGGGGCGGAAATCATGGCCCGCGGCATGTGCGCGGCCCCAGGGGGGGCCGGGGACGGGATCAAATAAGAAGAGGCGCCATGAGATCTGGGGAAACATCATGGCCCCCGCCATGATGTCCACCCCCCCCTAGTCATCACCCCCCTCTTCGCCGCCCCCGATATAGGCGAGCCAGGACGCTTCGCCACTGCTTGCCTTCCTCCTCCCGGGGCGGGGCTCTTCGGACCGCCCGGTCGCCGGCCGCGGCCGCCGGCTCCATCGACCCGCCCGCACCCTGCCGGAAGATGTTCAGCTCGCCGACGCCGTCCTGCCCCCGCCCTTCTGAAGGGGCCCTGGGACACGCAAAGAAGTACACACAAATAGACAGATCCCCCCCATCTCTTCCCAGATGTGCTGGGTTTTCGTCTTCCCCCCCCCCCCCCCCCCCCCCCCTTCCCATCTTTTCCCATATTTTCTCGGGAATCGGCGAGTCACTGTGTCTGTGTGTTCCTTTCCCCTCCGGACCTTCCCTGACCCCCCCCACTTCCCATATTTTCCAATTTTTCCTCGGAAATCGGCGATTCCTTGTGTCTGTGTGTTTCTTTCCCCTCCAGAACTTCCCCAACCCCCTAGAAAACCACGGCACTGCCGGAGAGGGTCGCCAGATGCGGAGTGAAGCGGCCCTCCCGGGCCACGGCGCGCCTCGGCCGAGATCGGGTTCCCCTCTTTGGGCGAGCAACGGCATGTGTACGTGTGCGCCGTCCGCGGTCTTGCCTGCACGAGCGTCCGCGTTGAGACGCACGCCAGGGGAAACAGAGCGCGTACGTGTACATGTGTTGCTGGCCTATCCTCAGGAGCGGCCCGAGAGACCGGACCCCCTCCTGAGAACAACTGGGCCCTGACTTCCACGTTTCGACTGCACCTCCTCCCTGCTCCACGTGGGACCCCCACACGCTCGACCTGGACGAGTCCGCACCAGCCAGACACGCGTGGCGGGTGCGGGATCATGCGCTCTTGCACTGCGGAGCCGTGCAGAGGGTCGAGGTCCGCCGGGTCTTTCGCCCCTCCTGCGGCGCCGTGATACAGGGAGGAGCCCCTGCAAGCTGCTCAACGCGCCCTGCCGCGGGGGGCTCCGCGGCGGCGCTGGCGCCGAGCAGCTGAGGCTCATTCGCCAGCGCAGGCGGATGCGGCCGAAAATTACAGCGCGGGCGGGGGAGAACCTCGTGGGCCCGTTCGCCCGGGGTTTCGACGAGGCGCCGGAGCTGGCCACGGACCCGCTGGGAAGTCCAGGGCCGGTGGCCAGCTGCGTGCCAAGGGCAGTAGAGGGGCCCAGGGGAGTGCCGCTCGAGGGGCGCGCGTCGCGGCTCCATCTGCTGAAGAGTCACGGGCGGCCGTGGAGATGCTGCTTGAGATCGGGCGCGCGACTGCCCGGCCCTCCGCCGACTCGACGCCGACTCCGACGTCTGAGGCGGCCCTCCGGTTCCCCCTTTTCCTCATCCTCCCCCCTCTGCCCCCCCTCCTCCACCTCCTCCTCCCCATCATCATCATCATCATCATCATCATCATCATCATCATCATCATCATCATCATCATCATCATCATCATCACCATCACCATCATCATCATCATCATCATCATCATCATCATCATATCATCATATCATCATCATCATCATCATCATCCATCACCATCATATCATCATCATATCATCATCATCATCATCATCATCAACAACAACAACAACATCAACATCTGCATCCGCATCATTTCAGCATCGGCATCAGCATCAGCATCGGCATTATCGTGATAGAGCACGCTTTAGAATTGCGGTGCTGTGTTTAAGAAGAACGTTGCGGCAGCGCGATGCGACAACGACGGGAGACAAACATAACAAATAATTAATCCGGCTTGAAAAATAATTCCCGTGTCATCCCCGAAAACGTATTTTCTCTTGGAGAGTAAAAGTTTGCTGGGGACGCGTGGCCCTAGAAGGGGCAAATAAGATCTGTAATAGCGCTCGGCACAGAGAGGGCGGGCAAGCCTGTGCGATGCGAATCCAGTTGGCCCCGTTGGGGGCGTGTCCCTCGAGGGCGAAGTGGGCGGTCCCCGCGCGGGGGCACCCCTACCGTGGGTCCCCGCGCGGGAGCACACTCCCCTACCGTGGCACCGGCGACGGAGGCGCGAGAGGTCGGGTTCGTCCACCTTCCCGCAGAGAAACCGCGTGTTTTCCTCCACCGAGTGCCGAACTGACAAAAAGCTGAAACAGCCGGGAAAACTCTCGCATTCTCGCCTAACGCCATCATGGCGGGCGTTTTGAAAAGATAAGACGAGCGAGGGCTCTCGATAATCGACGGCACACCATACGCGTGACACTCACGCGGAAGCGGCACCGCGGCGCGAATCAGCTAGTTCCCTTGCTTCACAGTAGCCCCATCCTGTCTGCATAATTCAGGAACGCCCATTGGGAACTACTGCAGCCTCAACGTTTTGGAACGGCGCCTGGCAATACTGAACGTCGCACAGGGCGGCCCCATCATCATGCCGAGCACTTTCCCCGCCTGTATGTCGGCGATCAGCCCATTCAGCACCTTTGGCCGCAACGCGTCGCCCTTGGCCCCGTTCACGAGTCGAGCTGGGAACCCAGCAAGCTCGGTCCACTCCGCAAAAAAAAAAAAAAAAAAAAAAAAAAAAAAAAAAAAAAACATACGCGAAGTAGCGCCCCTCCAGACTCAAGTGCCTCCACGGTCCCCGAGCTGAAACTCGCTCCGCTCTGGCGTCGAGATGCACTCGAGCTGCCTCGCGCAGCGGCAAGTCGGCCGCCCTGCGACGGGCCGCGGGGGCGCTGCAACGGCTGACACGCAGCCCGTCTCTGGGTTCTGCGCTGCGACCGCCTCTGCGCTGTCGGCGCTGTCAAGGGTCGCGACCGCGCTGCCGGCGAGAGACTCGGCCAGTTTGAGCGCGATCCTGCCGCCGTCTGATCGACCAACCTGCGGGTGAGGCGCCGAATACAGCGGCCCGCCTTCAACGGCCGTCTGGAGGCCATCGGCCTCGCTCGTCCAGCCCGCAGCACGCGCCAGGAGCGCGCCCTCGGTTCCCTTTCAGCGGGTCGGAACGGGCAGCGCCTGTGACCTTGGCAGGCTCGGTTATGGCCGCGGCCTTGGCGGCCTCGTCGCTGCGCGCGCTGTCGACCGAGCGGCCAGCCGCGCAACCAGTCGTCTCGGCGTTGGCCGCGCCATGCCGTGCCCCGCGGCGCGGTCGCGCCCTCTGGAACCGCCGCTCGCGCTGGCGTTCCAGGCGCCGATCGTCAACAGACCCGCTGGCGTCGGCCGCAGCCGATCCGGCCGCTTGGCCCAGCGCGGACTTCGTCTGCTGCTCGCCGTCGCCCGACTCGCGACTCCGCTCGGGAGAGCACCCCGACGAAGTAATTCTGTCCGACTCTGCAACGCCTGCAGCCTGCAACGCGGCCTCGGCCGCGACCGCGCACCATCCACTCGCGAGCTCTACGGGCGCGTCGCCGACAAGGGACAGCCAACTCGCCGCCGAGATTGGCCGGCGGCGTATTTCTGGCCGTCGAGCCGCAGCCTGGGCCGCCCTTCAGCTCGGTGCCTCGCGCCGAATTTCCAGCGCCGATCTCGGCCGCTGGCCTTCCCGCGGCCGCGGCTGGGCCTCCGACCGCCGCTGGACTGCCCACCTCGCGCGCCAGGCTGTAATCAGCAGGGCGCTTAGAAGAGAACTTGCGAGACGTTGAAGAACCGCATTGATGGTTCTGCTCGCATTCCGCACCGTCGAAAATCTCACTGCTGCTGCTATGTACGTTTCAACGCCCTTCGCCAGGATCAGCTCCCCCCCGCCCCCCCCGAAGGACCTTTATCCTTACTGGCATTAACATCCAAGTGGCAGGTGAGAAGGCGCGATGCGCTAGGAAACCGGTCGCATTTTCGACTCGGTTCGCCCGAGTCATTTAGCTCGCTGGGTACCCAGCGGACAATGGTTTGCATAGTGTGAGCAAGACAGTAGGCAGCGAACACACGAATCAGATTCAGCAATTTGAGATCCCTTCTTCTGATTCGATCAAACCTGAGGGACACACTCAGGCCATCAACGAGGAGGACTTGGCGGGCATCTTCCCGAACGAGCTCAACGCCACACGTCGAGGCGACGTCGCCAGCGCCCGCGCCTCCAGCAGACAGGATGGGCTGCGCCCACATCCCGGCGCCCCAGAACCTCGGCCCCTAGCGGCCATGCGCCAGCCAAGCCGAGGCCACCTCGGAGAAGCCTAAGTTGACCTCGTTTTCGCCGGAGGCCAGCGCGGTCTCCAGCCCGTCGAAATCTTCTCCTGGAAGCCCCTCCCCGGCCAGCGGCGGCAGCCCTGCGAGCTCCCGAACTAAGCAGCCGTCGCCGCGGACGCAACGGAAGCGGTCGCTCTCGCGAGTGCGGCCAGCAGCCTCCACCTCTGCATCGCTCGCGAGGCTGGTGGAGACCCCGAGACCCCACTCCGAGGCGTCACGGGCGCTCGCCAGTCGATTCCATCTCGGCCACCAGTCCGAGAACAAGAAAGCATCATCCCGAGAAAAGCCTGCAACTCGCCCCTCACGGACGGCCGCAACGGCTGCCAAGCCGATGAATGTGCACACCGAATGGAAGCACGATGAGACGGGTCGCCGCACCAGGCCGTAGGAGGCGCAGTGCCCCAGGATGACCTCCACCATCGCCCCGCTGGCCCCCCCCCCCCCCGCGGTTCAAGATGTCGGAGCGCGAAGTGCAGCCGCCAGTTCCGCTTCTTCATCAGTGAGGTGCGCTGCTACTCTACGCTGAGGACAACCCCGAGCGCCTCCGCGGCGTCGCCCCTCACCTCTTCTCCACGCGCCGGCAGGCCGAAGCTCTCGAAGACCTGCGCCATGTCAGCGAGCGCGTGCTCCACCTCCGAGCGACTATCGCCCACTACCCCCAGGTTGTCCACGCGCGCGTAGCGCCTGGGCTCGTGCAGAGCGTCACCCAGGACGAGAACGGCAGACCGACCGCGGTCCCTCAGCGGCTCCGAGGCGAAGAGCGCGTGCACCCGCCGGCAAAGACTCCCGCGCATCCACTGGCAGAAGAAAAGACCCCAGGTGAACCACGCGGGAAGCGCCCGCGCCAACGGCGCGATCGCATCTCCTGCAACGGCGACGGCCCCGTCGATCACCTGGCCGACCACGCCGACGCCCTCGGCCAGCGCATCGGGCAAGCCAAAATATCGCGAGAGCCACTCTGGCATAGTCAACCTGTGGAAGGCGCCCTTCACGCCGGCAGCGCTCACGAATACGGGCACCGCGCCGCCCTCGAAAGTCTCGACCTCGACTTCCGCGAACCCCTCGGCCGCGAGCAGCTCAACGTGCGGTGGCTTCAAAAACCAGATTCCATCTTCCACAATCCAGAATAATGCGCACCTTGAAACGCCGCCAATTCCAAACAAAGAACCGCCCTGTCCGCTCGATGTAGCTTCGGCCGAACCTCGCAAGCCCGCGCTGCCGCGAGCTGGCAACGGAGTCGGCGCACCGCCGCCGGCTTGGGCTCGAGCCAGGGTCCACGCATGGAGTCACGGGGCTGTCATGCATTTACCTCTGCCCATCTTCCGCCGATCGAAGCATTCGGCGCCCCCCCCCCCTCTCCCCCCCCTCTGTAAAATACCAGGCGGCGCACAGCTCCGAGAAGAGGTCACGCTCAGCGACCGACTCGGGTAGCGACACCGCGTCGCGACCGTAGGGTGCAGGTGCCCTGCTGACGGGTTCGCATTCGCGCGCGGCTCGTCCCTGTAGAAGCTCGCGGAAGGCCTCTTGAGGCGATGGGGCGGTTTCGTCACCCAGCGCCGGCTGCATCCTCTCCAGGAGACCTTCAGCGCTGGCGGCCACAGCCTTCGAAGCAATCTCGAGCATCCCTGATGCTCCTTCCAGCCTGGCGAAACTGAGCGAACACCTCGCTGTCCGCGTCTAGGTCGGCCGGCTCATCCTCGTCGTCGTCCTCCTCAGCGAATTTGATAAGCTGCTCGACCATCCCGTAGATCTCGTCGGCTTCTCCACCAGTCTCGTACTCGTCGTCCTCGGCGCCGTCCTCGAACATGGCCCGCTCGCGCTTCGTCTTGCCGTCCAGCTCTGCCGAGGCCTCTGCCGGGAAGCGCGTGGGCAACGTTTGTAGCTGTCCTCGCCTGCCGTCGCCGCAACTTCTCCTCGAAGATCGGGAGCGAGGCGGGACTTCCTGAGGAACCACCCAGGCGCGTAGTGGCTTCGCAATCGTTTTCTTGACGTCGGCGTCCATCGTTTGGAGTTGCGTCAGCACGTCTCCTTCCTGCTTCTCGAACCTGGCGGCCCAGTCCAAGGAAAACACCTCCGCCAGCGGGCCTGTGTCGTGGAGGCTCGTGTAGTCTAGCTTCTCCAGCACATAACCGAAGACCTCCTCCCAACCAGCCAGTCTGCCGCCGTCGTCAGCTCGACCCACGCCGTCGATCGCTGGGCACTCCTCCACGGCGTTGCGAGCCCGAGGCCCCAGGGCCCGCACCAGCTGCGGCCCACAGGGTGTGACGATGGCTCAGCCGGACGCTCGTCACGAGCATCGCCACCTCGAAGCGATAGCTTGACAGCTTGTCTGCCTCGCCACTCCAGGATGGGACCTCCACTCTCGCGGGCGCCGTGGTCCCCGTCGAAGGCGCCATCGTACCGAGACTACTGGAAGCCCGTGGTGTGACAACCACAGGCTACGATACCAATCAGAACCCGAAGAGCCTCAAGAGGTCTTCGATCACGCTGGTGATGTAACCTCGCTCCTTGGTCCAACACTTCAATGTTGAATATCCTGTTTCTGCAACTCTCGATGAGGACATGGTGAGGCGCCTTTTGCCCTCGCACACGAATCGCTCGCGGCCTTTCGCGGCGAGCTGCAGCGGAACTCAGCGGTTTCGTGTGAGAGATACCCGCCCGCCCACGAACCTGGAACCACATGGGCAGCGGCACGGACACGGCAGATGAGCAAGCACAACGACAGAATGGATATGAACGACTCGCCATCGCTCGGACGTCCATTCCCTGTGTTTTGTTCGGTTTCGTGTGTGTGTTTTTTCGCCAAATGATCCAGGATGCTCCTCGATGGTCCTCGCCGAAAGAACAATGCACACGTCCGAGCGATGCCAAGGAAATATGGAAACGACTGCTTGCATTCAGACCCCCCTCGCCCCCGTCATCTGGGTGGCGACATCCGAACCCGACCCCGCCAACCAGCCGTCGATTCGCCTGCATCGATGGGAGCGCCGGGGGCAGGGCTCGGACTCCGCCACGTGTGCGACAGATGCCGAGCCCTGCCCCGACCGCTCATCGACTTGTCTGTGCCGTCGATCGGCGGAGGCAGGTTTTGAATTTCGCCGCCGATGATCGGGCGCTCGCTAAAAATACACACAGACACAATGAATCCTCGATTCCCCAGAAAATATAGGAAAATATGGAAAGTGGGGGGAACACAGACACCCAGAAAATATGAAAGAATATTGGGAATCTTGTTATTTGTGTGTATTTATTTGTGTCCTGGGGCCCCTTCAAACATGGATTATGGATCCGTTGATCTGGCGCGTGGTCGCCGGACCCACGGATCGGGGGAGGTATACCCGAAGCATGGAGCCAAGGCCGCCCGACCTGGTTATTAAAGGGGCCCTGGGACACACACAAACAAAGACACACAAATGAAGAGATGCCCCATCGTTTCCCATATGTTCCGCTACATTTTCTGAGCTTCTGTCTTCCCCCATATGTTCTGGGTTTCTGCCCTCCCCCCACAAATAGATACACACAAATCAAAGGATCCCCCATATGTTCTGGGCTTCTGTCTTCTCCCCCCCACGGCCTATAGTTTCCCATCTTTTTTCCCTGGAGGCCGACGACTACTTGTGCCTGTGTGCTTCTTTCCCTCCCGATTGGGGGCGGAGCGCGCCCGCTCCGCGTGGCAACGGGGCCCGTCGCCGACGAGCGCTGCCTCCATCCATCTTCTCGTCTCCTCCCCAGACGTGCATCTTGCCTTCTCTCATCCTCCTTGCCTTCTCTCGTGCACCTTCTCGCCTCCTCCTTGCCTCCTCTCATCCTTCCCGCTGCCTTCATCCATTTTCTCGCCCTGCTCTGTTCAGCACGGCGCCCCCCGAAGTCCAGACCCCTTGCCCGGGACCGGCTCCTCATGCCGAGCCACCTTCTGACGGCCCCGGGGCCCGGCGAGGGCCCCCACGGGCCGAAGGCGGCGACAAGCCTCCGTCCTGATGTTCTGTCCGACGCGGCCACGTCCGGGTCGAGGTCACTGCTGGGGGAGAAGGCTCTGACTCGAACAAAGGAGGATCACGGCGGCGGCAGCGGCGGCGGGAGCAGCCGAGCACCCCCCTAGTGGGGCCTCCTGGTCGACCGCGCCGGGCTCGGCTCGCTCCGCCGCCCCGCCCTCCGTGCCCGCGCAGGCGGCCTCGAAGTCCCCCGGGACCTCGAACTCGGCACTGACGGTCGGGATCCACCAAAGGGCCGGTGACCCTGAATAGAGGCCTCCCAGATGGGATCCGAGCAGATGGGGTCGAAGGATCGCGCCGCATCGCCATTGCATCGCTGATGTATCGGCGATGTATCGGCGAGGCGACGTCGACGATGCAGCTGCATCGGCGACGTCGGCGTGGGGAAACACGGGCTCCACATCGAGCCGCATCGCCGATGCATCGGCGATGCGGCGCGATGCCCCGACCCCATCTACTCCGACCCCATCTAAGAGGCCTAGACTGAAAAGGGGGAGCGAGTTCGATCCGCTGGTGCACTGAGCCCGGAGGGTTCCAAAAGGGTTTTTTGGGGGAGGGGGCTTTCCAGAGAGCCCCCCAGGGGCCTCGGACCCTCGTCAAAACAAAGGGAGCGAAGCCCCTGGGGGACCCCGCCTGGAAAACCCCCTCCCCACAAACCTCCTTTGGAACCCTCCGGCGAACTGCCGCAAACAGGTGCCCCCGCATGCCCCGCCTGTCGGCAGCTATCGGAAGCTGCTGGCGGCCGGCGGGGGGCATCTGTTTTGGGCGGGGTGCAAAAGCCGATCGAACTCACACCCCACCCGGGCCCCCCCCTTTGCGGGATCCCGAGATGGGGTCGTGGCGCGAGTCTCCGGAGCCGAGGTTCTGGGTCTGCCTCCGCAAGGAGGGGGGCGGCCCTGAGATCCTCTCGCGCCTCGACCCTGTCGAGCCTGGCACCTGCGCCCTACCACTACAGGTCGATCTGGCTGGAAGATAGGCGCAGACAGATGGGGTCTCTGGCTGCGGTCGTGTTTTTTCGCGCAGACGGATCTCAAAGGAGAAGGAGGCGCGAGAAGGACGGGGGACAGGAGGAGATGGGGGAGGAGGAGGCGGAGAAAGGAGGAAAGAAAGGAACGCGAGGCAGAAGGAGGGGGAGGCGGAGGAAGAGTAGGTGGGAGAGAGGAGATACAGAAGCGGAGAGGCGCGGGAGGGTGGGGCGGCGGGAGGCGAGTGGAGGAGACGCGGGCGGCGACGGAGGTTCATGGAGAGATGGAGGGCAAGGTCGAAGGTCAAGTCAGCCAGGTCGAACGTGTGTGGGCCCCGCTCGGTCGCCCTCCCCCCCACAGAACATATGAAGCGACGGTGGCGCACTTTGGTATCGGGACTGGCGCGCGTGACCACCCGGCGGCTGGAAACCGCTCCCACACGGGCCGCGGAACGGGCCGCGGGCGGAGCTGCCACAAGCGCCGCGCGCGGCGCCGCGGCGAGAGCTCAAACTGTGCTCCCTCGCCGCAGGCTCGGTGCCCAATGACTGCGGCGAGGACGAAACACGCACCACGCCCTGCGACGTTGCCTCCTTCGGGCAAGCTCCGTTCGGCCTCCCGGCGAGAACAGCAAATCGCCCGCTCTTTTGGACGCCCGAAATGGGTACGGAAAGAATGGGTACAATGTCCAACAGCAAATGTTGCCCCAAACCAACAGCGGCCGCTGTTGGGCAGGCCGCTGTTGGGCAGGCGGCCTTCTGTCTCGAATGGACAAAGGCCGCGGCGGTGCGGACAGCGAGTGCTCTTCAAAATGAACAGGATCCGCTGTTGGGCATTGTGCCCATTCTTTCCGTGCCCATTTCGTTCGTGCAGAGCCCTCCCGCGGCCCTGCCGCTGCTGCCCGCCTTCCCGCGACTCGGCGAGCGAGGCCACGCCCCGCGCAAGCGGGGGGGAACGCCGCTCGCGAGCGGCATCGCCGCGGGGCGCGGGCGAGGGGATGACACCCCGCCCGCTCGCGCGCGGCCGTGCCCGCAGCGACCTGGCGAAGGAAATCCCCGCCGCGCTCCAAAGGAAAAGCACGCCACTCTCGGGCGAAGGCCACGCGGCGCGCCGAAGCGCGAGAGACGCGCGGCCCACTCGGGAGCGAGCCCGCCGGCGACGCACCGCCGAGCGATCCTGTGCGCCGCGCCCCACCTCGGGATATCGAGTCTTCGAAACCTGGCCATCGCTCGGACGTCCATTCCCTGTGCTTTTTTCGGTTTCGTGTGTGTGTGTTTTTTTCGCCAAATGATCAAGGATGCTCCTCGATGGTCCTCGCCGAAGGAAAAATGCACACGTCCGAGCAATGCCAAGAAACATGAGCGCGGCGCCTATACGCGCGAGCGACAATGTATTCCCCCATCTCGCGCGGGGCGCGCCGCGTGGCGCTCCCAGTGTGTGGTTTTCGGAGGCCGGGCAAGGGCTGCTAAGTCCGCGGCTGCTATAACATCGACCTCCGGGAGGTTGTCTTCGTCCCTCCGGGAAGAAGCCCGTTTTCTGTTTCGCGTGCCGCGCCTCATTCCAGGAGGTTGTTTTTCCCAACCATCCTGTGGTGTTGGGTCCTCGTTTTGAAAAGACGGTGCCCCGCGTTCCTCTCCTCTCCTCTCCTCTCCTCTCCTCCTCTCCTCCCCTCCTCTCCTCCTCTCCTCTTCACCCACCCAGTACACCGCTTCGTGGCTCCATAGGGAGCTCCACCGAAGGCCCCAGTGCCCGCGCCCGCATGCGTCACCCACACCCATTTCGGCACACCCCTCACACGTTTCGTGGCTCCATAGGGAGCTCCACCGAAGGCCCCAGTGCCCGCGCCCGCATGCGTCACCCACACCCATTTCGGCACACCCCTCACACGTTTCGTGGCTCCATAGGGAGCTCCACCGAAGGCCCCAGTGCCCGCGCCCGCATGCGTCACCCACACCCATTTCGGCACACCCCTCACACGTTTCGTGGCTCCATAGGGAGCTCCACCGAAGGCCCCAGTGCCCGCGCCCGCATGCGTCACCCACACCCATTTCGGCACACCCCTCACACGTTTCGTGGCTCCATAGGGAGCTCCACCGAAGGCCCCAGTGCCCGCGCCCGCATGCGTCACCCACACCCATTTCGGCACACCCCTCACACGTTTCGTGGCTCCATAGGGAGCTCCACCGAAGGCCCCAGTGCCCGCGCCCGCATGCGTCACGGCACACCCCTCACACGTTCGTGGCTCCACACCCCCCAGTGCATGCGTTTTCGGCACACCCCTCACACGTTTCGTGGCTCCATAGGGAGCTCCACCGAAGGCCCCAGTGCCCGCGCCCGCATGCGTCACCCACACCCATTTCGGCACACCCCTCACACGTTTCGTGGCTCCATAGGGAGCTCCACCGAAGGCCCCAGTGCTGCCGCCCGCATGCGTCACCCACATCCAATTCGGCACACCCCTCACACGTTTCGTGGCCCCATAGGAGCTCCGCCGAAGGCCCCAGTGCTGCCGCCTGCATGCGTCACCCACACACAATTCGGCACACCCCTCACACGTTTCGTGGCCCCATAGTAGAAGCTCCGCCGAAGGCCCCAGTGCTGCCGCCCGCATGCGTCACCCACACCCAATTCGGCACACCCCTCACACGTTTCGTGGCCCCATAGGAGCTCCGCCGAAGGCCCCAGTGCTGCCGCCCGCATGCGTCACCCACACCCAATTCGGCACACCCCTCACACGTTTCGTGGCCCCATAGGAGCTCCGCCGAAGGCCCCAGTGCTGCCGCCCGCATGCGTCACCCACACCCAATTCGGCACACCCCTCACACGTTTCGTGGCCCCATAGGAGCTCCGCCGAAGGCCCCAGTGCTGCCGCCCGCATGCGTCACCCACACCCAATTCGGCACACCCCTCACACGTTTCGTGGCCCCATAGGAGCTCCGCCGAAGGCCCCAGTGCTGCCGCCCGCATGCGTCACCCACACCCAATTCGGCACACCCCTCACACGTTTCGTGGCTCCATAGGGAGCTCCGCCGAAGGCCCCAGTGCTGCCCGCATGCGTCACGCACACCCAATTCGGCACACCCCTCACACGTTCGTGGCCCCATAGGGAGCTCCGCCGAAGGTCCCAGTGCTGCCGCCCGCATGCGTCCCGCACACCCAATTCGGCACACCCCTCACACGTTTCGTGGCCCCATAGGGAGCTCCACCGAAGGCCCCAGTGGCGGCGCTCACATGCGCATGCGTCCCGCACACCCATTTCGGCACATCCCTCACAGGTTTCGTGGCCCCATCATCCACCGGAGGCCCCAGTGGCGGCGCTCACATGCGTCACCCACACCCACCCAATTCGGCACACCCCTCACACGTTCCGTGGCCCCATAGGGAGCTCCACCGAAAGCCCCAGCGGCCGCGCTCACACGCGTCCCCGCCACCCATCCCGGCACGCCCCTCACAACAACAGGTTTCGTGGCCCCATAGGGAGCTCCACCGAAGGCCCCAGTGGCACCGCCCGCATGCGTCACCACCCGCACCCAATTCGGCACACCCCTCACACGTTTCGTGGCCCCATAGGGAGCTGCACCGAAGGCCCCAGTGGCGGCGCCCACATGCGTCCCCGCCACACATCCCAGTACACCCCTCACGCGCTTCGTGGCCCCATAGGGAGCTCCACCGAAGGCCCCAGTAGCGGCGCTTACATGCGTCTCCGCCACCCATCCCGGCACCCCCCCCGCAGCAGCATCATGTTTCGGGGACCCAAAGGGAGCTCCACTGGAGGCCCCAGCGGCGGCCCTCACATGCGTTTCCGCCACCCATGTCGGCACGCCCCGCGCGTGTTTCATGTCCCCATAGGGAGCTTCACCGAATGCCCCAGTGGCACCCATCTCGGCACACCCCTCACACGTTCCGTGGTCCTATGGGGAGTTCCACTGAAGATGAAACCCGCAGCTGCGGTACTGACAACTGCATATGGTTGGGTTCTTCGCCAGGCTAATTTCCTTCCGGGAGGGCCCTTTCGGCAGCCACGGTTTCAGCAGCCCTCGCCCAGCTTCCTAGGTTTGCAGCATTGACGACGGAACGTCCACATCGGAAAGAACAGCCTGCACCTGGTTTGGTGTGCTGCGCCGCCGCCGCGGAAAATCGGCCAAGATTTTCGGCGCCTCCCGTTAGGCGACGGGGCCCCGCTCCCGCCCAGGACTTTCTCACGACAGTACAGGGCAGTTTTTAATACATCGGATTTTTTAACTATTTAATTTTAATTCATGATTAATTTAAGAATAAATTCATGCATGAACTCCTCGTTGTTTTTGATACTGAGTCCCTGCGTTTTTTATACATGATCCGCACGCGGAGCATGTATTAAAACGGCACTGTAGAGATCGGCACCCTCTGCAGCTCGAGTATGCAGGCGGCGCGCCCGCCCCAGACGTGTCCTTCGTGGAGACACGAAACGGATCAACCTGTTCGAGGCGCCGACGTGGAATATCAAGCCGCTTATGGTTGCCCTGCATCTGGTCGGTCTGGAAAGTGGCGCGCTCGCTCGCTGGCCGACGGATCGTCGCCGTCGTCGCGCACTTTGTTGAAGCGCGTCGGCGCCGTCACGTCGTTCATGCGTATCGATTCGCAGTGCCCGACGAGTGAGAGGCGGGTGAATCGCTTCGGAGCGACACGTGCGCAGCGCAGTGCGCAAGGCAACCATAAGCGGTTTGAAATTCCCCTTCGCCGCTACGACAACTCAACCAAAATGCAGCGCTTCCCGTTAGGCGACGGGGCCACGGTACAACGTCGTCAAAGGCGTTGCGCCCGCGACAAGAAAGGAGACTCCAAAGGGGCCCGCTGGGCCGCGGGGCCCAAAACAATGCTCTGTTCAAGCATTTTGGTTGTTCAAATTTCTAGCAGAAACGCCATTTCGAAT